ATATTATTTATTATTATTATTATCCCGTTCGCCCGGCTGGTTGGATCATTTGAAGGTAATGTGATAACTGTTAGGTGTGTCCGACGTGAGGCTGGTCCGCGCCCACCGACTGAAAGCTATCATCAGCTAACTGCTAACGTTAGCCCGACGCTCAAGACGCCCTGTCGCGGCGTATCGATAAACCTTCGCGACGTGACGAGTTAATAACTAGTTTTTCTTCTCCTGGTTTTAGCAAAAGGTCGCTCTCTGTCATGGGTATTGATCAAAGTTGCTGACATTTCCCCAGAAAGCTCGCAGAGAAGCAGTGAGAGCACAAAGGTTGGCTCCGTTAGCATTTAGCCTGACAGTTGATCAGCTGGCCTGTTTAGCCTGACAGGACTGCAACAATGAGAAAAAGCTTTCTTTTACCTTTGAACAAATAATCGTATTCGTCATCTCTAGTGCCCATCGTCTTATTGAGAAATTGTTAGTCCAAGACTTAATTGATTCAATGAAAGAAAGGCGATCTACTGTTTTTTTTTTTTTTTTTAAGTCTTCCAACGGGATTCTGTTTGGAAGCCGTACTTCCGTAATTTCTTCTTCTTCTTCTTCTTCTGCTCAGTTGAAGGGCAGCGCACAGTGAGAACTCCGACTTCTACTGGTCAGCAGACGCAACTGCACATCACACTTTTAATACAATGCGAAGGAGAGAAAACCTTTTGATCAGAATCGGCTTTATTTGCCAGGTATGTGTACACATACGAGGAATTTCACTCAGGATTGTACATTGCTCACGATGTGCTTACTCATACAATAATACAATAACACAATCAGACACAGGTTACAGTACAGACAACACATATGTACACACACTATGAATGAAAACAATATAGACAGGTTGAGACAATAGGTCAGTGAGCAGAGTGCAAAGGATGCAGGAGTGAATTATTATGTACATGTCGGCGGTGGATGAGATATACAGGTGCACATACATGCGTACACAGTGTGATGGAGCACAGTGCAAAGGATGCTGGAATAAATAAGTATTATGTGCAGGTGTTCTGTACATGAGGTAGGTGGATTTGGTATACAGTATGAACAGCTCTGAAAAAGAGTGATGAATAAATAATAAGTGGAAACCAGTAAACAGGTGGCTGATTAGAGGCAGAGTTACTGGGTTATTGCACAGGAGTTGTTCCTGACACTGTGAGTCAGAAATCAGCTGTTCATCAGAGTGATGGCTTGTGGGAAGAAACTGTTGCTGAGTCTGTTGGTTTTGGCGTACGGTGCTCTGTAGCGCCTACCAGAGGGGAGGAGCTGGAACAGGTTGTGTGAAAGTCCTGAATGGAGGGCAGGTTGGCACCGATGATCTTTTCTGCAGTCCTGACTGTCCGTTGTAGTCTGCTCCTGTCCTTTTTGCTGGCAGATCCAAACCAGACAGTGATGGAGGTGCAGAGGACAGACTGGATGATGGCTGTGTAGGACTGGATCAGCAGCTCCTTAGGCAGGTTGAGCTTCCTGAGCTGGAGCAGGAAGTACATCCTCTGCTGGGCCTTCTGGATGATGGTGTCAGTGTTGGGCTCCCACTTCAGGTCCTGGGATATAGTGGATGCCAGAAACCTGAAGGATTCCACAGCAGACACAGGGCTGTTGAGTATAGTGATGAGGGGCAGAGTGGGGGGGGCTCCTCCTGAAGTCCACGGTCATCTTCACAGTTTTAAGCGTGTTAAGCTCCAGGTTGTTCTGACCGCTGAGATGAGGCCGATGACCATAGTGTCGTCAGCAAACAGTGTTTCTTCCAAAATGTAATACATTATAGATCACTAGTTACTAGTCATTTAAGAATGATTAGTTATATTACAATATTACTTTAATTGAATTGTAATGCTTTACACTACTTTTGCGTTACCTTCACTGCTATTTAATGGCTGCATTATTCAGATAGTGAGATGTGCTGCATATGTGGGTTCTACTGATGTGCAGATCAGATATATCCACGGATCGGGTGGGTCTTTGTCATAATAATGAATATTCTGATTAATAGCAAGTGGGTTGCAGATGGGTGAAATAGGATGCTGTGCTGATTTACGCACAAGGTACAGCAGCAAAACTTAATTCATTGATTATTTAAATCTCCCGACACTCCCACAGGATCGGTCTGCATGACGGCAGCCTTTCTGATCACAAAAGGAAATCGATGAAGAAAACACATACACAATTCTATTTACTTAGTGATGATAAAGACACAGAAAATAGAAATGCATGGAAAAAAAAAAAGGCATATTGTCAATACTTTAGAGCCCCCCTTAAATTTCACAATCATGTTTTCAGGGTAGTTACCCTCTTTATTAAAAAGGAGCCGAGCTCCCTCTGGCTCCCTGCCTACAATCTCAACCATCGAATTCCAGCAACAGGAAATAACCTTACTCTTTTACTCACAGATTTTTTTTTTTTCTGGCGCCGAAATGTTTCACAGTGTTGGTGAATTTAAAAAAATACACCACTTAATTTCGTGTTGTAGGCTACAGGGTATAATATTACTGAAAATGTATTAGTAGCCTAATGCGTTATATTACTGTATCCAGCAAAAAGTAATAGCCTACAGTACTGTAATTGCGTTACTTTTGTAATGTGTTACTCCCAACACTGGCTATTATATACATATTTTTTTTTCTCAAAAACATATCAAATATGCTTCTTTAAAGGGTTCACACATGTGTACATATGTTTTATTGTCATGTTATCTCTAGTTTAACAGGTAATATAATTCCCTTCCATTCAGAGAAAATAAAAAGGCAACTTTATAAATCTCAAAATCTTATTTTTTTTTTTTTTTACACACATTATACACATGCATGAACATATGGGGAGAGGTCAGAGCAAGGAGACTGCCATCAAGTCGGGGGCCCTGAGCAGTTAGGGTTTCAGGGCCTTGCTCAAGGGCACCGTCGGCAGTAAGAAGGAGCAGAACTGAGCAAGCAGTCCACACTCCAAATGTGCCGGACTTGAACAGGCCAATCCCTCACTTACTGAGCTACTGCCTCCCCACGTGGTCACGTCACTTCTCTTCCTGAAAGTATTAAATATTAATAACAATAAACATGTTCATAAAGTGCTTTTGAAACATTTGAAGCACACAGATGCAAGAAAGTGGTGTTTCCAAACTGGTAAATGTAATTCATAAGTAGGAGATCTGATATTTTAAGCCATCCACTGAGTCTGGCATGTGCAACGCAGACAAGGCTGCCTAGACGGAGAAAAAACTGATCTTTGTGGTGACAAGAAGGTTACAACAGGAAAAGAAGCATTTTGGAAAGAGGAGACAAGGCTCGAGGAAAGGCCTTTGAGCTCGGCGGGAGGTGACAGAGATGGAGTTCAAAATGGAAAAAGAAGTCATCGTGAAGGAGAGGGAGTTCAAAAAGGAGCTAGAAGGCATTTCAGAACATCATCAGGAGGAGGGATGCTTTGGGCAGGATCAGGCCTCATTAGGACGACTCAGGAAAAGAGAAGATGGGGACAGAGGAGGAGGTGAGGTGTTCAGTCCACACAGAGGAAATGAGGAGAAAATAGAAGCTGGGAAGATTCAACAGGTCCGACTGTGAAGAGCTGCTGTCACACTGTGGTCTGTCTGCTGTGTCTGTTTTTCTCTCTTATTCTGAAATTGTCTGTGTCTGGTGTTGCATCTGGTTTTGTTTCCTGTTCTCCTGATTGTTCCTAATGTGTTGCACCTGGTGTTCCTCCCTCCCCGCTCATTTGTGTCAGTAGAGTCCTCATTTCGGTTCTGGGTCATTGCCTTGGCGTGTGTTGTTTGTCGCGTGTTTCCATGTCCTGCTTGTCCGCCTGCAACTCTGCCAGTTTGTTCTCAGCCTCTGTTTGAACTTATAATCATCACCTCCTGGATCCTGTTTTACTTGCCTGGTTTTTGAGCAGGATTGTCACATTTAAATTCTGGACTTCCACCAGGAGTTGTGCTCTTTTTTTTTTTTAAAATGAATAACTGAACTCATCCTGCCAGTTCTGGTGTCTGAGCTCAGGACAAACTCTGACAACTGCAGCAAGTCTGAAATGAGTTTGGACCTCAGGCATATTAAAGGAGAGTACTTCACCAATTTAGCATTGCACTCTTATGACACTGACGGACTCACGATGGACAATTAGGGGGGGAAATGGATCAAAATCGACGCAGCACAACCAGATTTATTTATTCAACAGCTTCTTCTTCCTTGTCAAAACCTGACTAATTCATTACCACAATGCAACCCCACCGCAGAGAGTTCAGTCGGAGATTCACGTGTGTGATGCTCGTGGTGGGCAGTGGGATTCTTTTCATTTTCAAGTTTGTAGTCTTCAGACCCACCCGTGACGTCCCTTGAGGATCAGCAGTTCCCTTTGGGCAACAAAAGGCTTTTCTCACGTATGCAGTGTTTAAATTTCCCCTTTTAAACACAGACTTGTTACACACCATACATCAGAAACACCTTTGACAACTGTGGGACAGTGGATTCTCACTTTCTATCACCCGTGGATTTAAAAAATCTCGCCAGCTGCCGGATCAGTTGTGGAAAGGAATTGTTTTTGTTCATTATGGAGGAGACATTACATATGAAAAGCAAGTAACTGAAATGTGTTGACATTGACATCTATTCACTAAGGTAGTCATACATGCATAACAAATGTACATACACTTACATTAACATAGTGACATGAAACACAGAAGAAAATAATGGTGTAAATTAAAAATAAAAGTATAATCAGGAGAACACAACATAAGCACATTGGTGTGGTATGCCCGAGCCAAAACATCCAAATTAAATCCGATCGTTGAATTTATTATAATTAACCAAACTCTATTAAAATCCTCCTGTAAGAGTTCATTTCATTTATTTCTTCTTGTGATCAGGACGGTATTTCTTCCATTTAATATTCTGTAAACAGAAAAAAAAAAGACAAGGAAAATTAGCTGCATACATTTGCTGTTAGTAAACTTAGATCATTCTTTCTGACTTACATTTTTCCCCCAGGTGTGTTTGGGCTTCTCTGTCTTCATTTCCTCCAGCGACTCGTAAGTGTTGCCTTGGACAGCGGCGGCCTCCCTGGGGATCTGCTCATAGGTGTCATCATCCAGCCCGGCACTTGTTGCCCTCTCGGGAACCTCAGCATACATGTCGCCTCCCTGCTGCGCTGAACTCCCTCCGGGCCTCTCAGAGGTCTGGTACAGCGGGTTGGACTTCAACATATCCACATCCCGTCCCCGTTGTTCGGACCCGGAGCTGCTCCGCCTCAAACTGTCTCTGGGATCGTGGAGGGAGTAGGTGTGACAGTTGACAATTTTCAGTGGAGCGGACGAATATGTGAAGGAGGGAATACTGAGCTGGTTAGAGTACTCGTCCTCCTCCGTGTTGTTCAGTCTCGGTAGAGATTTGCTTCTGCTCTCCACCTGTGTCAGCTCAGAGTATGTGAGCCCTGGTCGAGAAGGATCACCCGGGTAGCTTGTGTAAGTGGTATTTAATAAGTCTCCAGACATGAGCTCTGAATCTTTTGGGTCGGTCCAGGTTTCACTTGGATGTGGTGTTGTTTCAGGCAAAGATCCAGTCTGAGAGAAGCCCAGAGGCATGCCTCTTTTCGGCAATGGAGGTACACCCTGAAGGACATGACACGAGAACAATGAGAATATGGACGACCAAACAGTTTCTCCACATGGTCCATTAGTAGCTGCTGGTCGTATCACATGAGCTTCCTCTGCAGATGATTTTGGTTGATTTGTTGTAGTAAAAGTTGGACTGGCAGAACATTTTTTAGGTAATGCAAATGAAACCAATAACACTCACAACTCACATGGACTCATTAACCATTTATTTACGTATTTATTCAGTTGGGTCCAGTGTTTGTGGTTTCTTTCTTTCTTTTTATTTTTTATTTAACCTTTTATATAACGACGGGAAAAGACCCATTGAGAGAAAATCTCTTTTTCAAGGGCGCCCTGGCCAAGAAAGGGAGCAGGACAGCAAGTCAGACAGTACAAACATAAAACAATGATACAAAATACAATCAACACATTTACCCTCTTACCTGTATACAAATGCAACAGTCGCAACCCACTATCAAACCAGTACATTCAAACTTCAATGAGCAGTTAAATTACATCAATGTGATGCCAGCTTATTCAAAAATAGTTATATTCATCTTTTAAAAACCTCTGTAATCGATGATTTGAACTTTCCAAGAGACACCAGTACCTCCAGCCGGAGAGTCCCAAGTTAACGGTGCACAGCATGAGAAGACTGCGGTCTTTCCAAACACTGAAGTCACCCTGCGAACTTTTAACAGCAGTAGCCTGCTGGACCGGGTTCGATGACTACTCACCGCAAAGCTGAGGTGACTATTAATAAAAGGTGGTAATATGCAAACGAGTGCCTTTATAAATAAAGATACACAAATGTATCTGTCTCCACACAGCTAATAATGACCAATCCACCATATCATATAATCTGCAGTGATGCGCACGCGATTCTGCAGGTGGAATAAAACGCAACGCTGCATGGTATGCAGAAGTTTCTTCTTTTGTGATTCTCTTTTCATGTATGTTCATGGACACAAAACTCAAATTTGCACTCAGTGTTTGACTTGAAGTGAAGCCAAAATATTGATCTGTACATGCTGCCACAGGTGCTTTAGCTCTATGTGGGAACTACAACAAGCCAGACTGTGTTAAACACCAACAGAGTAAATTAATTTGTTGTGAACAGATTGGAATAAGGTCGTGACAAATACGTCGTACATGCACCTAGAGAAAATCCAGTCTATACTAAAAAAACATTCAATGCGTAATCAATCAGTTTTAACTTCTTTCATACCTGTGTGGGGGACACAGACACCATTCCCATCAGCTTCCTGTTTTGGGATTTTGGTGGCAGTGGATGTGGCGGCACTGGAGGACGGTCATTTTCCTGCTGAATCCTTTGATTATTGTGGTGATCATTTTTCTGGGTCCACAGACTCCTCAGAGCTTGAACGCTCACCGCAGGCTTCCCTTTGCTGTTGTAATTCACCACATCATACAGATCACCTGTGTCTTCCTGCAAATAACGACAAACCTCATCATCTCTTTTCAAGCTGGCTTCAACAAGTGAGTCACATTAGATCACAGGGTTTAGACCCTATGATCCCAGGATCCTAATGTGTTCTGGTCAAATCTGAAATCCATTTCAAGATATTTTATAAATATTAAAATTATGTTGTTATTGTACACAGCCCCCAAAACCAATAGTTGTCATTTTACATGATTGTGAAGGTGTCTAAAAATCTGTATCTGTGGATAAAATATTACTCAAACTTGACTAAAACTCTTGTTTGGGTTGGATTTGATCCACTAAATGTTTTATTGCTGCATGTTTTCACTTAAGGAAGCATTAAGCTATGACATTTTGGTGATTTAACGACTATTTGAGAAGTTCCCTCAAGTGTAGGCCTATTGAGAGTGCTGGGAAACCCCCATTGACCATGTCATTTTAAAGTTTCCATGAAATCAAAATTGATGTTTAATTGTTTTTATGGCATATGCCTTGCACTATATTTCACCATTACACCAGCATCTGGCCCAACAATGATAAAAAAAAAAATGTTGTTTTGTAGGTATTCTTGATGGTATTTTAGAGTTTGTCATTTCCTGGGAAACGATTTAAAAAAAGGTTGATGACTCATCCTGCACTCGGGGGCGTGTATTAATTTAGTGTCCAATGAAAAGCTTTCTCACTTTTTTTGGACTGTACCTGTTTTGTGAAACTGGATCATATTTGATGGAGGAAAATATTCTCTGGTTCTCGCGGGCTGCCCTGCCTCAGTTATCTGTGATTTACGGAGTTTGCTGATGAACAGATATTTGCGCTTGTTGCTAAAGTAACAGCTAACTGCTACTAGCTGCTGTTAGCTAGTTAGCTCGGTTAGCTGTCATATTCGCTGACTCTGCCTGGACTGCGAGCTCGGAGCACTGGGGGAGTATTAGAGTTTAATGTTGCACCTCTGTCTTCTTCTACTTTGTAAAGTATATGGCCAGGGGCGGGGGACCCAGCAGAGAGTGATGGCGGGTAGTGGCCCGGGAATGGGCGCCAGAACCAGAGCCGGTGTAGCTACCGGATGTGCTCGGGTGGTCAGATCTGCTCGGGGGCCTGCGTCCTGTAATCCCTCTCGTCAAACTGGCCTCTGCCGGTCTCGAAGGATGTGTTTGGTCCCGGCTGCCATGTTCACTCTTCTTCTTCGTGGTACGCATTAAACGTAGTGACGAAATGCACTCTACTGAGCTGTTGGTCCGTTCAGGCTACTGTAGAAACATGGCGGTGCAACATGGCGAGGTCCATGTAAGAGGACCAGCGATGTATGTAGATAGAAATGGCTCATTCTATAAAAGCATAACGGTTCACTAGGCAAGGTCTTTATACACCTCTGAAAACATAGTTGTGGATATTATATTGCATTTTTGTCAATAGATCCTCCTAAATATTACACACTGAGCAAATACAGGGCTGGGGAACCTATTTTCCAGGTACTCATTATGAGTTATATGGAGCTGAACATAGGACTCTTCGTCATGTTCCCGTTTCTTAGCTTAGTGTGTTGCTAATTAGCACCAAACGCAACGTACAGCCAAGACAGATGAGTTAGATTTTCATCATGAATTGATTAAAATTCAACATTAGAGTCTGAAACAAAGTTTGGTATCTATCCAAAAGAGTTGTTGAGATATTTCACAAAACCAAAAATCACATGGTGGCGCTAGGGGGGAAAAGTCAGGAGATCCTGAAAATCTTTAGGATACATTGTCTGGGAACTATGCATGTCTGTACAACATTTCTGTACCATGGATCAAGAGTCTTTACTGTAGCTGAATGCCAAGTTAAAGTATTCCACCAAAGAACAAATGTGCTCTTCAGAGTCAAGGATCAGGACAATTGCAAATAAGAGGAGCAAAATCCAAGGCACTCTGAGTCCTGAGTATAATTAATTAATGAAACACTTTTCCTCAAATGTTTACTCCTATTTCACTGGATGGTTTGAAACTTTGTCTTACTGGTGGTGTTACAGATTAGATTAGAATGAATTAAATGAATTGAATTAAAGTGGTGGACTGACTGTCATCACTACCGTGCATAAAAACCATAAAAATCCAGTGAATAAACACACATTTATAGTAAACTTGTAAAATGCATTCAAAGTTTTAACAGGTATTCTACACTCACCTAAAGGATTATTAGGAACACCATACTAATACTTTGTTTGACCCCCTTTCGCCTTCAGAACTGCCTTAATTCTACGTGGCATTGATTCAACAAGGTGCAGAAAGCATTCTTTAGAAATGTTGGCCCATATTGATGGATAGCATCTTGCAGTTGATGGAGATTTGTGGGATGCACATCCAGGGCACGAAGCTCCCGTTCCACCACATCCCAAAGATGCTCTATTGGGTTGAGATCTGGTGACTGTGGGTGCATTATCCTGCTGGAAGTAGCCATCAGAGGATGGGTACATGGTGGCCATAAAGGGATGGACATGGTCAGAAACAATGCTCAGGTAGGCCGTGGCATTTAAACCATGCCCAGTTGGCACTAAGGGGCCTAAAGTGTGCCAAGAAAACATCCCCCACACCATTACACCACCACCACCAGCAGCCTGCACAGTGGTAACAAGGCATGATGGATCCATGTTCTCATTCTGTTTACGCCAAATTCTGACTCTACCATCTGAATGTCTCAACAGAAATCGAGACTCATCAGACCAGGCGACATTTTTCCAGTCTTCAACTGCCCAATTTTGTTGAGCTCTTGCAAATTGTAGCCTCTTTTTCCTATTTGTAGTGGAGATGAGTGGTACCCGGTGGGGTCTTCTGCTGTTGTAGCCCATCCGCCTCAAGGTTGTGCGTGTTGTGGCTTCACAAATGCTTTGCCGCATACCTCGGTTGTAACGAGTGGTTATTTCAGTCAAAGTTGCTCTTCTATCAGCTTGAATCAGTCGGCCCATTCTCCTCTGACCTCTAGCATCAACAAGGCATTTTCGCCCACAGGACTGCCGCATACTGGATGTTTTTCCCTTTTCACACCATTCTTTGTAAACCCTAGAAATGGTTGTGGGTGAAAATCCCAGTAACTGAGCAGATTGTGAAATACTCAGACCGGCCCGTCTGGCACCAACAACCATGCCACGCTCAAAATTGCTTTAATCACCTTAAATCTTTCCCATTCTGACATTCAGTTTGGAGTTCAGGAGATTGTCTTGACCAGGACCACACCCCTAAATGCATTGAAGCAACTGCCCTGTGATTGGTTGATTAGATAATTGCATTAATGAGAAATTGAACAGGTGTTCCTAATAATCCTTTAGGTGAGTGTACATCTTCTACATGCGGCATACGAGTTAATCAAACTTTCTGTGATCTCCTCACCTCGTAACAACTTGAGGTCAGGTGCTCTCCAAAGGGCTGGATGGGGCTGACTTTGTAATGCTCTATCAGCTCCGTGAGGCTGCCGTATGCCCGGCAGTCTCCTGATATGACGAACTGTCCATCTTGATTCTGGGTGATGACAAAATGGCGGCACCTGTCGTGGCCCCTTTGGAGGAAATGCACGGCCAGTGAGATGAATCAGAAGGGCGGTAAATAAGCAACTGGACAGTGTTCAACAGACTTTGCTTTCCTTACTTGTAGGACAGGATGTAGCCCATGGCTTTATCACTGAGGCGAATGAGAAAACAGCCCTGAGCTTTATCTCTCAGTAGATCTTCAGTGTCCCTGCAGCAGAGAAGGAGACCGAACCAGTTAGACTTACAGGCAAATTAGATTTAAAAATAGCCACACAATGTCAGATTTGTACGTCTCTTTTATTCACTCTCACACACATCACTCAGAGAAAACAAAGAGCCACTGATGACTCAGCCAGAGTCATCAATCGTGTCAAATATGTTGATTTTGCACCCTGCAAACATTATATCTGGAATCAAATCGATTTATCATTTGTTCGTTACCTTAAAGCAAGACTGACATTTTTTTAAGCTTTGCTATTTACTGAATTTTACTGACTGTAAATACAGTGCAGCCGCATCAAAGTGACTGTACAAACTGTACCGTGTGTAATTAAAATCAACATACAGTAATGTCAGTAGTACAAAAAGACACCGGTTTCAGGCAAAATTTTAACAAACTGGAAATAAACTGAAGGCTGTTATTGCCGAACTGGTAGCAGAGATTGAAACCTAAAGTATTCAGATCTTTTCCATGTGTTGTCAGACCCCAAGTGAACACTGTAAGCCAACTACCTGATTACTAAAAGCTAATTATTTAAACAGCTTTTGTAGGAATGATTCTGTCCTGAGCTGTTTCCACTGCAACTGTAGAATATACCCTTCACTCCATGTTTTCTCTGAATAACCATAAAAATATCAAGCATACAACATCAGAGGTGGAAAAAGTATTCAGATCCTTTACTTAAGTAAAAGTGGCACTTTAAAAATACTCCATTACAGCACAATTAAAAGTCCTGCATAAAAGTATGTTTACCAAGTATACATGTTTGGGTAACAAATCAAACGTTTTTTCCCGCCCCTGTGAGTGTTTTACTGTATCATTGGATGATTTCTACTGATGCATGTGGAGGTGGAGCAAGTTTTAACTATTATTATTTACTGTCGGTGAGTTTAATCTATGACAAAACATCATATACTGCAAAGTAACTGAAGAGACTAGATTAAAATACAAGTACTTATATTCCACCACTGCATGGCCTCATTGTCCTCAGCAGTACTACGGCAGTGCAGCTAACAGAAAAACATAATATCTACAGTGTCCTGCAGAAATCTATACCAATAAATGCAAATAAAATTTCACAACCTATCAGAAACCACAAGGTCAAAACAAGTGCAGCTTCTACTACGTTGGAACATACTGAGATATCTTAAACACAAGCACAGATCCTGCAGTAGAACTCTTTTCTGTGTTGCTCACTTTCTTGCAGCGAAGCCTTGAAACCAGTCAGGGAAGTTCCCGTTGTTGAGGATCATCGGCGCCTGTGTCTCAGTGAACCACCTCAGCACCAGCTCCTTCAGACCTCCTTCCGAGGTCCCCACGTGCAGGTCTAACTTCTTCTCCATCCTCGCAGGTTTGTCAGGAGCTGACTCTGCAGCCGTAGCACACCATGCATGCCCTCTGCTCAGATGATGTTTAACTCTCACACAAGGAAGACGAGCTGCCTCATTTGACTGTTTCCGTTTGGCGTCTCTCCCGTCTGAATCGTGGTATTGTTTTAAGTTTATCTACCACTGACTGTTCTGCATCTCACTGGGCTGCCAGTTCATTTTACTGCGTGTCTTCCTCGTCCCAGATTTCAAACTTTACTGGCTTTGTCAGGTTGTTTTTACTTTGGTTTGACACCCAACCAGATAACAATTATAAAATAGGGTTAAGACAACTTGGACAACTTTTCAGACATTTAGCTCAAAATGCCAACCTGATGGTGGCGCTAATGAGAAGTCAGAGGATTACCAAAGTCAGTATGATTCATTCTCTTTGGACCTTGAATATCTGTAGCATATAATAGCTGTCAGGATACCGCCATGCAGTAGGTTAGTGTACTTTCTACAGGTGCTGCTGGTGTGGTTTAACCCCTTGATGCCTGAATTTATTTTTATTATTATTATTTACAGTTTTTTTTAAAAGAATTATTTCTGTTTTCATTTGCTTTCAGGTTGATATCAAATGAAGTGGAAATTGTTAATTTGTCTATAGAACATAGAAAATATATAAATTCAGGTATGATGCAAATTAGCGACAACAGGCAATGAACGAGAAACCAGTGCTTGCAAAAGGTTCCCAGGTACGTATCGAATATGCACAAACAGGCATTTGGGGAATACAAACACTATCTCAGCTGCAGTCTGAAAGGTGTGATGTGAATTTGCGACAATCGGCCTTAAGGGTTTAAGGACAAACAGGCAGCAGCAGGTATAAAGGCAAGTGAATCTGCACACGGGCCGCAGTTTCATTAGGGATCCAACTAACCCAGCTCACGAACTCTTCAACCTCAAGAAGTTCAGGAGAAGGTACTGAAGCATCGTTACAAAAACATCCAGACTCAGGAACAGTATGAACCCCCAAGCCAATTAATTTCCCTCTCATCCATAACCCCACCACAAACATGACATGGGAAATTGCATTAGGGATAGCCAGCACTTTGCACTACCCCAAAGGTATTAGTATTGTGTGTATGTTTCTTTGTGTGTGTGATTGCACTGTGATGATCTGTATTTTTTTTATATATATATATATATATATATATAATCATATTTTTTAAGAGGGTGTGCAGCATCTGGCGTTGAAATTTCATCGTGTAGCCACTGCACATATGACAGTAAAGAACTTGAACTTGATATTTCACTGAAAAATAAAACGAGTTAAAAAAACAAATACTGTATGTAAAAGGGGATCACCATAGCCATTAGGATTCATCCTCTGGGGACCATGACTATCTGCAGTAGGTTTCATAATAATTCACCTGATAGCGAAGGTATTTCACCAAAAACCAAAACTGTCAATATCATAGTGGCACGAGTTAAAAAAAATATATGAGGGGCTCATAAAAGCCATTAGGATTCATCCTCTGGGGACCATGAATGTCCAAACGAAATTTCATTACAATCCATCCAATGGTTGTTGGGCTAAAAAGCAGTCTTTACACCCAGAACAGAATACCAAAGCCCCTTTGGCTGAAGGTGGCAGTACATGAACATCAATAATGTTTTCAAATAAGAGAGAGGTTTTGAAAGTTGAAGGGGTTCATTTTCTTTTGAGTGTGAATGTGCGGTCATATCATCTTCAAAAGACAACTGAGCAACCAACATCACTATCGGTGCCACTGCTACATGGGCAAAGAAATTTGGGCAAATTGTATTCACTGGAATTCAGTGTTGATTAACAATGTTATCGAACTCTGAAGATATTTAAATGTTAATTTATTGAGACATACAGTAAATATTAGTAGAGGGAGTCGCAGCTAAAACCTAAAAAAAGTGGAAAAAAGGATACAAACTTTTATTTGAGGGGAGGGTTGCCTATTTTAAGGGACTAAATAAAAATTAGATTTATCAAAACATATTAAAATTGCAAATGTTTAAATAACCAGTCTTATTAATCTAAAAAATGAAAAAAGTTCTGTATTTAAAAAAAAAAAGCTGTTGGTTTTCAGAAGCCACGGAGTGCTGGAGGGGGCAGACAACAGGTGTCAGAGTTTCATGCTGGAGCTGAACAGATGGTCGCGTTCTGTGTTAAATTGAGACACCGTGACGCCAAACCTCATTTACATTATTGCAAAGTAAAGGTTTACCAGAATATATGCAAAAGTACATACACAATATGACACGTTTGAAAGTATCTTCTGAGTTTGTATGTTTTACTTGTTGATTCGGTATTAAATTAATACTCCTAAAATCCTCGTTTTAAAATGAGATTTCACACTAGTTATCATGCAGCCCAGGCTGAAGAAGTGTGTAAGGAGTAGTGTGAACAATTGAATGTTTAAATTTAATTCATATGAACATGTTTGCTCGGTCCACTGTCGTAATTCACCTGTAGACGTTTTAATAATAGGTTTTTACAAGCGAGTAGTGCCACATTAAACTAGTAGTTTTCTGAATGAAGTTTGGTGTGACGCACTCCCCGTTCTAGTGAACGGAATGTGTTGGTGTTATTGGGACATGGCAGAGTGCTCGTGGCCTGAACTCAACATCGGAGACACGCGCAGGACAGAAGGAGGACGAGGACATGGTGTTCACGATCAAGACTTTACGTTTTTAACATGTAAGACATTTTCTATTCACTGTTGTTGTTCTAACAGTGTAATTATGACCGGTGACATTTACAAGAATAGTTTCTTATTTCAGACAGCGTCCACTTTCAAGCCAAGGCGTCGGTGGGAGACTGCAATTACCTTTTTCTATAACAGGCGAGCTTTCTTTTAGATATGTTCTAATTCAACAGCTATTATCATGTTACATTTAGTTAGAGAGTCGTGGAAACAATTTTTCCCAGATGTTAAAACAGCCGTGGTCTGTTGTTACAGGTAGGACTAAAGAGAGATGAGAAGCGAAGCAGAAGAATTATCCCAAACATCAGAGAGGACTGCAGCCATGGACCTGTTCAAACAACAGAAGGTGGAGGATTTCTATCACATTGGTGAAGAGCTGGGAAGGTAGGCCTGAATTAGCTCTGCTCATTTACTTTTACATGTATTAAAGCGCTCATTATTTAATCTTGGCATTTAGACAGATAGACAACATAAGGAACATAGGGAATAATAATTAAACTAGAAACTGACCTACAATTAAGAACAAGGACCATATACACTTTCTTTATTTATGTATTTATTCATTTCTTATATTTCTGTGACAGCCAGGAAAACCTGTGTAATGTTTTTATTTTAGTGTTTTAATCAAAAAGCCAGATTCACAGAAATCTACCTTTTAATTTGATCTTGTTTTGTTTAAGGACATGCAGCACATACAAGGGAACCATTTACAACACATTGTGGCATTTCCTTTACATAAATACCATGTTATTTCAGTACATCAGTAATATTTATATAGAGACAACATGAAGATCAACTTCTTAGTGACAACCCGGGATATCAGTCTTCTTGTATAGTTAGCAATAACTCTACCTATATTTGATGATAAGGTTTCACATAAACTGGACGATTTGTAAACATAGTTTGCATCTCTCAAGGGTACTAACTAGCATGTAGGTCACTGCACCAAGCAGTTATTGCTGTGCAATATGGAAATTACACTGAATCATTAACTGCATGCTGCAAATTCTCCCTGCACCTGTGTGACAGCTCAATAGTGTATTTGTATTCTCCTTCACTGCTTTAACAGCAGTCAAATTGTGAGCCATAGCTTCCTCTTGGACTGATGATTGCTGTCTCTCACACACACAAGTCATTTTTTAAAAAGTGTTTCAATAACTAATGTATTTTTGGACTAGTTTTGTTGCTGTGAGTCATCACGTGGAAACAACTGTTGTGCATGTGGAGCTGCTTTTTAAAGGAGTCTTCTATCTTTAGCTGTGGCTATATATATATATATATATATATATATATATATATATACATATATATACACACACAAGCCCAGACTGGCTGCAAATGAGGAAGTAGCGTGTTAGCTTACAAACCATTCAAGGGAACATGGAAAAAATAAAACAGTGTACACTGTATATGTGTATAAAGTCATATAAACCTTGGATTTCGAATGAACCACATCCAAACCCTGCTATTAAAATAAAGTGCTTTATTTGGGATGTGTGAGTATCTGTGAGGGTCAGGCTTATCACTTTGAAACAGAATCTGTGCGAGACTAGAAATAGACTGAAGTGGTGGGGACATTCGAGTGACAAAACTGAATCACAAGCACACCGCAGCCCCGTCATATGTGTTACTGCTGGGTACACCAGAGTGAGCAGCGGGCCAAACACTTTCAGGGGAGGCTCAGTGAATGTGAAACAGCGTTACATCAGGTGTTACATTAGTTCACATAGACAACATGTTTATGTTTGGGTTAAAGACAGAGTTCAGAGCTACAGTAGTTTTGATGAACAGTTTTTCCCACGTTATCAGAGTTAGAACCTTTTTTTTATTTGTATTTGGTGTAGTCTAAAGTTACACCAAACAGCATAATTAGGCTCTCTTGGCTCAATGGTTGAGTGTCAAGTCAAAGACTTTGAAAACCCCTGGGGTATACAACAAATTCAGTAAGCATTCAGCAGCTCAACAAATAAGATTACTCAACGGGGTAATTGTATCACCTTCCCATTTGCCTTGAGCCAGTCACGATACATACTTTAAATTTACACCAAACTGGACCGGTTGTGAAGCATTTGTAGTTTTTAAAGTTTAAACTGTTCTTTTTTTGATTGAAGCAACCCCATCAGGCCAATCCGTGTCCCTATTATTATTATTATTATTATTATTATTATTATTATTATTATTAAAAAAACATTGCCTAAATGAATTATTAAACCAGAGATCTCTGACTTTTGGTTAGACAAAACAAGACATTTGAAAATATCATCTTGGGCTCTAAACTGTGATGTAGGCCAAACCATTAATTAATAAACTGAGAAAATTTGAACATTTAGTTTAGTAACAGTAATCCACAGAGAAAGAGTACATGTGAAGATGTGAAGAGACAGGAGCTCTAGGACAGGATCCCCTGGCAGCTGCTGGTAGTGGTGGAGTAAAACCAGCAGGTGGTTGACAGAAACTTTCTGTTAAGTGTCCCTGAGCTTCCTGGTAATGTAGGTTGTGGGTTGTAGGTCTGAAATACAGAATGGCTCACTTATAGTATAACATATAAGGATCGATTTGTCAGGGGTAGTAGAGTGTGGCGGCTGGAAACAGAGGAGTGGACCCACATGCAGACAGAGGCGAGGAAATTGCAGTCCAACAAAGATTTATTAAACAAATAAAGTAGGCTTACACTGGGAGGTCAGTGGCAACTGTCCAAACAAAAGTTACTCCAAACAAAAACCATAATCCACAGGGAAAAATCCTAAACAAAGGAACAAGGTACAAACCACGGATAAATCTACAAGTCACACAGACGTGGACGTCACAAACGCTGAACACAACTGAGGACAATATATACACAGGCAAAACAGCAGGGAGGGAAGCTGAAACACATCAGGTAATCAACAACAGGAACAAAGCTAGACAAGAACACCAGGAACAGAAGATTACAAAATAAAACAGGAAGTAAAGTACTCTGGAACACACAAGGATAGATCTACCAAAGTAAAACACAAAACATGGAAAGACTGCAAAATCAGGGCACGGACAGAGACCGGACCAACCAGGAGACAGGACTACACTAAAACATGGAGACATAAGACTAAGGACTAAGACACATACCAAAATAATAAAACATAGAAGTACACAGACCAGAAAAAATACTAAACATGAACTAAAGCACAAGACTAAGAACTAAAACACAGGAGTAAGTACTAAGATGAGAGACAAGACAGATACTAAGAAACTTAAACATGCGAATGAACAAAAGACTAGATTAAGCTACAAAACCCCAAACATGACAAGATCAAATAAAGCTTGCAGAACACAGAACCAAATCCTAACACGATTGGCTTGAGGAGCGAGGAAAGAATTATGAATGTTGGGACGTTGCAGTGGTGGAAGAAGTATTCAGATCTTTTACTTAAAGCCGAGGTAGATTGTTTGGTTTGTAAAGATTCTGAAAATAGTGAGAAAAGCCGTCGCTATTAACCAGAGCCCAAAGTGACACCTTCACAACGCTTGTTGTGTCCAAACCTCAACGTTATCAACAAACATTACAGTTATTACGATCATTAGAAGGACAAATCTTCACATGTGAGAAGCTGGAACCATCCAATGTTTTTGAGTGAACATTTTGCACACATTTTTAAACAAACACATAAAAAACTAACATTTTTGATAAAGATTCCTAAAATGTTTTGAGCGATATGTAGTTAAAAGAACATTTTACAGTAGAAAAATAAACTGATTCTGTTTCTAAATAACCTTAAATATATCTGACGTTTCGGTATGTACAATTTTTTGTTACTCCTTGAACGATATACAAGCAGATACCAATGTATCTATGATAAGCTTTGTCAGCTGTTTATTAGTTTACTTTTTCAGACTTGAAACTGAAAGAATTTTTGATTGCGCTTCTGCGTTTCAGTGGGCAGTTTGCCATCGTAAAGCAATGCAGAGAGAAAAGCACAGGTCTGCAATTTGCTGCCAAGTTCATCAAGAAGCGGCAGAGCATGGCCAGCTCTCGAGGAGTGCGGCGGGAGGAGATAGAGCGGGAGGTGGACATCCTGCAGCAGATTCAGCACCCTAACATCGTCACGCTGCACGACGTCTACGAGAACCGCACTGATGTGGTGCTCATCCTGGAGCTGTGAGTGACAGAGGGTCACGGGTCCCAGCGCAGACAACCAGTCAGGCAGGCACAGTGAATTTAATAGTAAATGATGATATATGTATGAGGCTTACAGGCAAAAGCAGGAAGTCCAAACAGAAGAAGCCACAGGTTAGCCAGGAATAGGTCAGGCAGGCAGAGATTGGGGTTCAGATTTAGGTGGATATGGGCTGGTGAACCGGTGGATGTAGGAGTCAAGTGGGACCGGTGAGAAACTCTGAGGGCATTTAGTGGATGGATGGAGAATGGCAAATCTGGAGAGCTCCTTATTAATGCATTGACCCGGGGGGAGGTGAGAAGTGACTGGAGACGAGGACAGAGGCTCAGACGGCAAAAGAAAAGCAACTGAAGCAGCCGATGTGACAATCCTGTCCAGCGCACAGACGTGGGCTGCATCTCAAAATGTTTTCTTATTGCCAGTTATGAAAGACCACACACTGACATTTGTGTCAGTCAGTTGTCAAATACAGTATTGAACACTGTGCATGATGGGAGTTGGCACGTGATGATGTAGTTCTCTAGTTTTGGCAGATTTTACAACCTACCAGATGGGCTGAATTTTGGGGAAATGTGAATAAAATGAAGCACAAGACATCAGGAATATTTACATTTGTTGGAAGGGTGCAACCCCGCAGGGTTCATAAAGCAGGAAAGAATATTAGTGTGAAAATACACAAAGATTGCTCTAATGTGCATTCAGTTTAACAATCTGTACGCTTGGATCACATTAATGAACTGACCGTGCGTGTGGATCATTAAACGTTTGTGCACAAAGCACATTTTTAAGCATCAAAATAAATGCTGGGAATTACAATTCTGCAATCCAAATTGTTTTAAGTAATGAAGAGTGATCTGTTGTTCAATTGGCATACTAGCTAAATAAATGGACAGTCTAATAACTGAGGTCAGAAAATACTGACAAAGCCATAATATTCAGTATGATGCACATAGTGGACTGAAAATACTATAAGCACGTCGCAGCATGTTAAAAAGTGCTTTCAACCCCTCTTATTCTGAAAGTCAGAGGTCAATCAGAAGTTTGCCTTGAACAAATCTATACTGAGTGCTGAAAAACTTTTGTAATTTATACAGTTTATTGAACAACGTGCACCAATTAATTTAACAATTGGTCACATTTTATTAAAATCCACGTGGTTAATCAATCTGTGAATATCAATTTCCACATCAGTATCATAACAGCTCTAATAAACATGGAGTCACAGCATCATATAGCTTCAGTTCAGAGCAAAGACGACAAGAGAGAGTCAGTGAGGCCTTGCCAGTGTTGCTCTGCTTTGATTTATTGATGAGTGTCTGTGTTCCAGGGTCTCTGGAGGTGAGCTGTTTGACTTCCTGGCACAGAAGGAGTCTCTGAGCGAGGAAGAGGCCACCCAGTTCATCAAGCAAATCCTCGAGGGGGTGAACTACCTCCACGCCAGAAAAATAGCCCACTTTGATCTCAAGGTTTGTCCAGACCAGACATGCAGCATTTGTTATTCAGCATTAAATTACTATTAATTGTTTGTACTACTATTTTTTTACAGTTTAAGCTTTTAGCAGACCACTTTTGTGATTTAAATATTAAAATAAAAAGGAAATATATTTGACATCACTTTTTATATTTCTGCCTTTTGACTACACCATCTCTCTACCAAACGACCGTTTGATTGACATGTAAATTAACAGTGACCATATGCTAACAAACAGCCGCAACATCTGCAAAACTACTGTTTAAGACACAGCAAAACATGTTGTGTGGCTTCAAGTTCATTCATTTAACTTTTTTTACTGCTAATGATGTATTTTGTTTATTTTTCATTCCTTTGTTTGGGGTTTGGTGGTGTTTTGTTTTTTTTTTTAGGGCATTTATTACAAATAAGACATGACCAGGCAAGAGAGAGAAACAACAACAACAACAACAACAAAAAGTATAGAAACACAGACACAATCTTAAGTAACTAACTAAGGTTAAGTACCTGATCAAAATTTGCTTTTTGTTTTTCTTCCTCTTTCGCCTCTTGGTTTCTCCTGCTTTAGGCCGCCCCCAGAGCTGTATGAGGTTATTTGCATGTTGTCAGGGTTGTTGTGCCAGAGTGTACATGCAAGGAGTCATGTGTGATTAGCTCATTTCAAGGATTTTCCACCAGGCTGGCAAAGTTGAGGAAATTAGTGAGGATGTAAAGCAACTGTGGTGTTTGATGTTTGAACCAATAAATGGTAAATCAGAAATTCTGAAGTTGTTGCAGTTGCTGTAATGTAATCCAAGAGTTATTAGAGTGTAACTAGTTTACATCAGGGGTTTGGTGAGCGCAAAGCAGGAGAGAGCCCAAATGTACAGTTCAGGGGATTTTAATCAACACACAAGGCAAAAAACAAAACTCACGGGTCGTGGAGACGGGCAAAATGCAAAAACTGTCAGCGCAGAAACATGCAGAACACTCAGTATTCGACAACACTAGACAGAGCGTATGCACGCTACAATGACCGGACAGGGAATGAACAGAAACACCAAACATATATATATATATATATATATATATATATATATATATACACAGGGACTAACGAGCAGGGCGGGTGCAACACCGGTTTACCGGGATCAGGGCTAACGAGGCGGGCAGAGTGATGACTGGGGGAACAGACATAACACAGGTTACTGGACACTAAACACAGACATAAACTAAGACACAGAACTAAACCTAAGATACATGAAACACAAGGTGAGCTAAACAGAACCTGCGAATGAACAATGAAATAAACAAGGCTAAACAGAGAACACGAGACAAGGAACAAAACTCCAACAGAAAACATGGACCAACTGTCACACAGAGACAGAACAAATACCAGAACACCACTAAACACTAGCTGACCGATAAAAACTAGATGAATAATAACCCAGACTAAATAACAGACACCAAACTGATCATTATGTAAACTTCACAGTGAACTAAACTCAACAGAACAGAACTTAAAATGTAGATGCAAAACTCAAATCTTAGAATCAAGAACACAGAGTGGATAAGGGAGACAAGATAACAGGACAACACAGACAACAGAACAAAAACACATTAACACAGAACCGAACGGACAACAAAACGGCAGAGCTCACCGTGAACACAGACTGGGCACAGGACAACAGACAAGACAGAACCTCAAAACACAACAGATGTTTTACTGGATGTTTTATTTTTCCAGTATTAGTATGATGGCCTGGCAAATTCAGAAAAATTACCTTAGATTTATTCCACTAGGTGGAGCAATTAGCTGTGTGTTTAATCCAGACTTTAGTTGTGACTGAGATTAACATCTATTCCCTGCATGTGCATTTCTCACTGATCTCTGGTGGTGCATTGTTTGTTTAGGCTACTGTCTAAAGTCCCCTTTGTATTTTTTGCACATGGGAAATGTGGGGAACATTCGAATAGCTAATCTAAGTTGTAGTTTCTGTTCTCAGTAAATGTCTCTCTCTCGTCTGCAGCCTGAAAACATAATGCTGCTGGACAAGAATGTGCCGTTGCCGAGAATCAAACTCATTGATTTCGGTCTTGCCCACAAGATTGAAGCTGGTGTTGAGTTCAAGAACATCTTTGGGACGCCTGAGTTTGTAGGTGAGACGAGTTAATTTCTTACTGATTAAAGGTTAAATTAAAGGATACCAGAGAAGCAAATAAATAGATGCTCATACATGCCAAGATGCATTGTATCCATAGTGTCAGTGTCTGCCCTAATGTTTTAATATAAAGTATAGATATATAATTATATCATATTACTACTAGGTTTGTTTGCTTTCTGATTTAATCAGTAAAGGGACCTAAAATCTAAAATTTTACACACATTTTTATTGTAGTTCCTAGAGTATCTCCTCTTTGTATTCTTCATATGGGATGGGAATAAGCGTTGGTTCAGTACTTCATCTTTATGGTCAGACTCCGGGACAATCTCAGTATCCAGGCTGTTATTTACGCCATGCGACAAACTTCACCGGGTTCTCCAACCCATGCATAGCTTGTACTCATCATGGCGTCCACGTCCAGAGCAGTAATGACATCGTATTGCTTAAAGCCGTCTTCACCAACTTTATTCTGATCTTGGGGCTTGTAGAAGTCATCCTGATATACAGTTACGCAGATTCTCAATCAGTCTGTTGGTGAAGGTGGTTCTCCCTCCACTGGTTATGCCGCCGACGCCGGTATTGTACTTCATATTTTTTCAGATGGTCGTATAGACATATACATAAAGGAGAAGAGTTACAAGAAGATAAACAGATTTACCTGCAAATAGTAAAAAAGACAAGTGTAGGAAAAAAAGAAACAAGGGGGTCAAATGAAATGAAACAATTTAGAGTTTCATCTCATTAAATTCCCATTGGTTCCTGTTAATGAGACCTAATAAATAATTCCCCTTTTGCCATTTTGCCTAATATTCATTTACTCTACCTAAAAGACTTTATTCAAATTTGAAAAAGAGAAAAGAGAAGTTTTCCATATAATCTTACCCAAATGTACAATAAGAGGAAACAAATCATTGAGTCGCTTCCTAAAACAAGTAGGAGAAGTTTAACTTTCATTTTCTCAAAACATTAAAGGTTGTTGGGTCTCATGTGACAATTCTATAGAGCTCTCAAAACATCCCTATAAAGCAAGAGCACAGTTTGGAATAATCTGTTCTGCCAATTATTATACTAAATATATATATTTTCTTCCCAATTGCAATTTAAGGCAATCCCAGAAAAGATGAGTCACAGTCCCCTCATCTGATTTAAACTTGTCACAAATATCTGTAACCGACGTGAAGATCCTATTAAGTTTGGTATCCCCTCATACTGAAGCTCATCTTGAATCTCAAAATCAATGTCCTTACTCCCTGAGACGACCGGACCGGTGTTGGTCTGTTGGTCAGAACAGAAAACAGAAATTGTGATATTAGATGTGAATAAAAAGTATGTTGGACTGGTAATGTGCCAACATATTTTTCAGCTACTTTAACAGCGATGCCTTTTACTTGTCATCTGTTTGCCTTTCAAGCACCGGAGATTGTCAACTATGAGCCACTGGGATTAGAAGCAGACATGTGGAGCATCGGGGTCATCACCTACATCCTGCAAGTGAACCTCAAACAACATAATGTCCCTTACAGTGTACGATACGTGATTCTGCAGCTGCCCTTCAAACAGGATGATGAACTGCTCTTCCTTTTATGTTTGTTTTCCAGGCTGAGTGGTGCTTCACCCTTTCTGGGGGAGACCAAACAGGACACGCTGGGGAACATTTCAGCCGTAAATTATGAGTTCGATGAGGAGTTCTTCTGTCACACCAGTGAGCTGGCTAAGAAATTCATCAGCCAGTTGTTGGAGAAGGATAAGAAGTAAGAGCTCATGCAGAAAACAGTGAATGACATTTTCCTCAGGGCAAACCTGTGTCCGTACAAGAAAGTTCATCTCTGTAATTTGTAATCTTTCCAGAGTCACACCCTCTGTGTTTATAGTAGTTTAGTGACGTTATCTGGACATTTTTTTTCTCTTACAGGAAAAGATTAACAATTCAAGATGCTCTTAATCACCCGTGGATCAAGGTAAAGTGAAAAGATACTTTTATGTTGCCTGCATCTTGTGGTATTACAGCTTAAATAATAGATTAATTACATGACTACTAAAAATAGGATCAGCAAAGACAAACAGCAATGTGGTTATTCTGTCCAACACAGCTCATCACTCATTTACAGTTACACCAACACGACCATGGATGGTGTAGCGTTATCATGCAGCGGGAAGGCTTAATTCAGAAGAAAGTGAACAAAGTCCTCAGGCAAACTTGACACTGCTTCTTATGTTCCAAATTTCAATAATGTTAAGTTCTCTTAGGTTGTCCTGCTCTAGATAATAAATGGAAATTTGTGGAAATATATTTAATATACGTTCTTTTGCTACTTGGCTGAGCTTGAGAAAACCGGAAAAAAGTTTTATTGAACCTGATTCTTTATTATATTACGTTATTATTATTATGTATTACATTTTGAAAAGACAGATCTTTATCCAGGCTGAAATTCAGGCTGAAACACCACAAAATCTCTACTGAGTAGAGTTTGAGCTCCGGCACAAACAAATACATTCATTTAAACTTATTGTTACTGCAAAGAATACTGCTAATGAATGCAATGTGAGCTGTAGCAGAGCCAAGAAATGTTCATAGCGGTGGCCAGACTGAGACCATATTTCACTAATTCTGCTCACTCATTCACTCATTTATTCACTCAGGCAAAGGTGACCAGTAATTGAGCACCAAGCGTATGGATACACCATTAGCAATAATTTACATTTATCTGACACTTTGATCCAAAGGGACTTACAATTGCTTTATATTTCAGAGGTCACAGTGGGTTTGAACCCAGGTCTCTCACACCAAAGGCATGTGTCTTATCCACTGCTCCATCATCCCCCGTAATACATATGGTTTGCTTTTACCAAATGTGGGTATATAAATACTGTAAACCCTTAATATTTTTGTACATACACTGTACTGAGGGTAGAAATAATAGTGACAATCTATTTTAAATAAATGAGCCAAGAACTTAAAGTAGAAATTAAAAGTTTGGAACCCATAAAATTCTCTACATTGACCCTGTGTTTGCAAAAGTTGGCTAGACCTGAAAGCTAGACCTGAAAGGGGGCCTTTTTTCTGTCCCTATACATTCGTTTTCATTGTTATCTGTGTCATTTGTTTGCCTGTAACCTGTGCAAATAAACATACTCAAACCTAAATAGTCTATCGGGCGGCCACCCTTTAGTTTATGGTGGCGATGACCACTGCTGGCCACCTCTTGGCTCTGACATGGAAGCTAGTCATTTTAGACATCTGAAACCATCAATCTGCATCCGCTGATTTCCCTCTGGTGTCATTGTGCACAAGCCTGTGATTTGCACATGATACTTTAGAGGACCTACCTGATGCACTAGCATAATTGCATGATCTCCTTGTATCTGTGCCTGCCCACAGTTACTAACTATCCCTTCTTTGAACCCAGTCCAATGAGCACAAGGAGGAAAACAAAGCCCAGGAGCCAAAGAAACGGGAGCGGCGCCAGCTGAAGACCAAGCGCCTGAGGGAGTACACTATTAAGTCGCACTCAAGCATGCCACCCAACAACACTTATGTAAACTTTGAGCGCTTTGCCCAGGTGGTGGAGGACATCGACCAGATGGAGAGCTCGTTCGTTAGCCTGGCAGCAGCCCATGACTCTCTGCAAGAAGATATCGATGCCATGGTGTCCATATACAATGAAAAGGAGGCCTGGTACAAGGAGGAGAGTGAAGGAGTGCGCCACGAGCTCTCGCAAATCCGCTATGAGTTCCGTAAGGTGGAGGCCTTTAAGAGGAGCCTGCAGGACGACATGCAGGCTTTCAGCTCCGGCGTCTGTGCCATCAGCAACCGCTACCAGGAGAGACAGACCCACTTCGATGCACTGCGTCTGGAGCTTAGCAATGAGCTGAAATGGGTGCAGGAGGTGGTGGGTTCATTTCCCATGGACGGAGGTGGTGGAGGATACCCCAACTGCAACTTCTCCACCGTCTTCAATGACGACGTGAACGAAGCCCTGAAAGAGCTGCTGAACCGCTCCTGTGGAGGAGAGCTGCTATCCGGGATCAACCTGGAGTTTGAGACCGGACAGCAAAGATAAATGACAATTATCCAACGAAGGTTAAAGTCAAGGGCAACTGGACTTGGTTGAAGATACTGGAAGACGTTTCGTCCCTCATCCAAAGGACTTCTTCAGTTCTGACTTATTTTTTTTTTTAAACCCAAGAACACACTAAGACAGATGCTGGTCCACCCCAAAGACCGCACACCCAAACACAAGAAAAGCAATCTAGTGTATGCGGTCCAATGCAGTGAGGAATGCACAGACCTGTATATTGGGGAGACTAAACAACCACTACACAAACGCATGGCTCAACACAGAAGGGCCGACTCCTCAGGTCAAGACTCTGCAGTCTACTTACATCTGAAGGACAGAGGACACTCGTTTGAGGACCACCAGGTGCACATTTTAGACAGAGAAGATGGATGGTTTGAAAGAGGTGTCAAGGAAGCATCTACACCCGGGTTGAGAAGCCGTCATTGAACAGGGGAGGGGGTCTACGCCACCACTTATCCCCCACTTACAATGCTGTCCTTGGTCGTTCAGTCTTGGCCACCGGTAGTCCTAACGACCGTAACGACTGTCGTCACAGCAACAAGGAACACTAACGAACCAGCGGTATCGATGATCCTGGCAAACGACCCCACTGAGGTTAAATAGCTGAGTTTCCCTGCCAGTCAGTCAGAACTGAAGAAGTCCTTTGGATGAGGGACGAAACGTCTTCCAGTATCTTCAACCAAGTCCAGTTGCCCTTGACTTTAACCTTCGCTGGATAACTATGACCTGGATGACCGAGAACCTTCACAGACATATTGCTTAACAACTATTTCAAAAAGGTTATTGTCTCATAAAATGATTATTTGAACGGCGTCAGGCCCTAAAGTATGATTACTGTTCCTACACATAAAGATTTGGCAGTTTCACATCAGAGAAGTAAAATCCTGCTTTTGCAGAGAAACCGTACATTTTTCATGCTGAAAATAATAATTTGAACAAAAAGCGATGTACTCACATACAGCGCAACGTTAAGCAAAAGCATTTCAGTGTGATATTTGGTCAGAAACGTCAGTCTGTTGAGCTGTGTGTTGGCGATAGAGGTAAAGACCAGTAACAGCTTTTTCATTTGTGTATTTTGTCTAAGACAGCTTAATATAAACACTGTTAATATTAGTACTATGGATGTGTGTGTGTGTGTGTGTGTGTGTGTGTGTGTGTGTGTTAAATGCTTTACTGTTTTGTGAGTCCCATCACATGTGCACATGGGCTATTGATAAAATCGCATACATTTACAAATGTTTTTTAAATGAAATTAAATTCATTCAAACACTCAAAAGTGGGTTACTCGTGAGTTCAGATTGATCAATACTGTGACAGCCAGCTGATGTTTACACAAGCGCGCTTTCACAACATTGTTTGCTTTGTTTGTTTGGACTAGACCGTAGCACCCATAACATTAATGCTATTTCTGGAATATTCATGAATGTATGAGTGTATCAGCACGTACAGAAGATCTGAGTGTTCGCTCGAGTCCAGAGAACCAGTTTCTGACTTTGTTGTGGACTTTTATGTTACTAAGTCAAGGTTATTTTTTTCTAGAGAGCTGGTAGCATTTTGGGCATTTAATGTCCTTGCAGTTCATAAAAAACAATAAAGTATCTATACTTATACTGCTAAAGTATCCAAACTGAAATTGCTTGAATATAATTAAGAATTTAAGATGAATTGTGTTGGTTCCTTGATGCGGTATTTTCTGATGAGTAATTAGAGCAGTCTGCAGAAAAACATGACGGTTGTTTTTGTTTTTGCTGGTAAAATGGTCTCATGATTCATTTGAAGCTGATGAATCGTGGAGCTAAGACGTATGTGAGCCATGGGGCGTTAGTCGTGACGCAGGGATATGCTGGAGCAGATCAGAGAGTGCGACCAGCTGAGACACGACTGAGACTTCAGACCAGGAGGGGAAGCAGCACCTGCTGTAATCTACACCCAGATAGCTCCCTCTCGCTCCATATGCAGATACAACTATTCTGAGAGCACATACGTATTAATGCTCATTTTACATGTTAGACTGGATCTGAGCAGCACTATTCATAACTAACTGAGGTATTTAAACGTATTCTTCTTTTCCCCACAACAGTTCAAACTCCCCATATTTAACCACAACCTGCAGATTCTTCTTTTAGGAAAATAATTCAGCACACAAAACGCGACCGATGTATAAAAGTTGATGCGTTCTCCAACTGTGAGCCGGTTAACATCAAAAAGGCAGCAGGAGATAAAAGATCAAGCCTATTTACCACTCGGGAAGCTTCAAAGTGGCACATTTAAAGGCATTTAAAACGTTAACCTTTTCACACCACTCAGAAAAATGTCTCTCTGGCACTCTGAAAATTATCAGTATTATAAAGTTAACATTTATATAACATGATGTCTGGGCAAGACAGAAGAGGATGCATGCAACAGCATCCATTATGCTTGTTCCTGGGGTCAATAGGTATTCTGCTTAGGCACCTAGTTGTAATAGATGAAGTATGTGGAGGGAAAATAACAACTAATAGGAGCGTGGATACTGCCGTTTGACGCTGCTGTGTGGAGAAAGCGCCTCTTAACACGCCCTGACATGTGACTCAGGAAATGATTTATTTTATTTATAGATTTTCAGATGCTGGGAAAACGATTAGAAATCATGTAATTGGTTTAAAGTCATTCCATTAGATTTGTCTGGTGGCCCGAATTACTACTTTGTGTGCTGACAAGCAGGCAACTGTCAGCTAACAGGTTACAACTTTGTGGTGATAATCTGTGAGGGCTGTGTGTCTGTTCTGGCCCTTGTGGCCAAAAACACAATTTTGCAACTTTAGGCACACCAGTGCTGAATGAAGAAAGCATCCCAGTGTTTTAACAGTCATGAAAGTGGAAAGTGACTGTATCAAGTTCAAGTCATCTTAATCTGGAGACAGATGATACCAACAATTAAATATCAGTATGTGAAATAGGTTTAAGTCAAGAAGAACCTTTTACTCTACTTCTTCATTGTATATTTAAAATCTTTATAACTGTTGAAATTTGCAGATGACATGTCTTTAGTGGGACTGGCTAGAAATGGTATATATAGAGGGCTGAGGCTGAAGCTTAACTCAAGTGGTACAGTGTTAAGAATTTAGACCTCTGCTGAGAAAGCACTGGCCAGGGAGCCAATGGTTTAGCTCACATCTCTCTTGCAGATGTGATGATAGGAAAAATTCACAATATGAAGCTGTTGTGGAAACTTGTGCTCACTGCATCTAAAACAGGGCTGGGAGCTTCCTTCTAATCCATCCACACCATCAGAGTGGAAACGCAGATGCAGAAATTACTCAGGCTGCTGGCCTTTTGCAACCTGCAGAAAGGCTCTTCAAGCAGCTTCCTGCACATTTCAGATTATTGATTAGACGTTTAAAGTCAATACCAGACATTTGCAATAGCTTATCAGGCGTGAGGATTTGTTGCTGTTTTGTGGTTTCATTCAAGAGTAAATAAAATATCCTATAAACATCTAGTTCTTTGCAGGTGGTCAGCCAAAATTGACTACTTTTAGATGTCAGCTTGGACTCTTATCACTATCACTTTTATATTTGACTTTATAAACTTAAGATTTGATAAACAATATATTTACAGACAATAAAAATAATCATTGCTTGTGACTAAAGCCACTAAGTCCAGCTGAACTCGTTGAAAACATTTAAAAGAATGAATGGAAGAAAGAAATTACAGCAAAGAAAATAACAAATAACTGCAACAAAACAAAGTTTGATTCAACAGAAAAAATTTAGTTATGCCAAGAACAAAATGAAACAATACAGGAAACTGAAAAAAACTTCAGCTATAAAAAGGTTGAAGCTTTGTCGTATTGCTGACAGACTGTTTACTGGTGGCCATAGATACTAAAATACAGCCTGAACACTGACAGCACTGCATGAGGATTTCAACTTCCACAAAATGGTGAGCAACACTTCCTTTATTTAAAATGCCAATCCATCATAATAATAATAATAATAATAATAATCGTCTCCACCTGTTCATCCAAACAGCTAATGAGACTGGATCTCTCAGTGGTGAAAGATGAAGTTCAATTGTATTTTGAAACATGTTAAGCAAAAAATAAGGGCTGGCCAGGTGGCCTATAGAAGTGGTTCTCAAAATGGAGTCCGGGGATCCCCAGGGGTCCTTAAGGGGGCTCTAGCGGATCCCCAGCATCCCATGCATAAGTAACTAAATGACAGACTAGTCATGGATTTAATACAATCTCTGTAAAAAAACATCTATCAGATGTGCGACCCTGGTACAAAATCTCATCAAATGGGGGTCCGTGGTCTAATTTCTGTCAGTTTAGGGGTCCTTGACGTGAAAAAGTTTGAGAACCACTGGCCTAGAGGCCTGTAACTGCAACATCATGGTTCAAGTGAGGCTGCAGGAAAATGTATTGCCCCCCCCCTCCGGATTTATTTCCTGTCAGCTGTCTAATGTTGACAGCTTAAAAAGGCAAACAGCAAATAGGATGGGCTTCTGAGATAAGGAGTACTGCAGCGTAGGCAGCCTATAGGGGCCTGCATTGCAAAGATAAACACAAAAACCTACTTTAGACACCATTTAACACTACATTATGTCACAACTGCGTGAATTTCTGTTAGGCAAGTAAAGTTTATTTGTATAGCACATTTCAACAACAAGACAATTCATAGTTATTTACATAAAACACAAAAGCAACATAGGGAAATTTAAAAAATGTTAAAATACATTTTTTTAAAGAGTTAAATATAAAATTAAAACAGGACAGTAAAAGTTACAGTAGTTAACTTCAAGATAATAATCCATCCATAGTTCAACCGCTTATCCTGTGTACAGGAGCCAATCCCAGCAGACATCGGGGTACAAGGCGGGGTACACCAGTCCATATACAAACAACCACTCACACCTAAGGACCATTTAGAGTCACCAGGTAACCTAGCCTGCATGTCTTTGGTTGGTGGAAGGAAGCTGGTGCACCCGGAGAGAACTCACGCACAGGGAGAACGTGCAAACTCCACACGGAAAGGCCTGGGATGACCACGACGGCGCTAACCACTC